TTACACAAATTTGGGATGGATATATTTGGCTTACTCCTAGCCATGGATCTTTAAGCATACCAGCATCTTTATGCTGGGAACAAAGAACTCATTTCGAACAAAATCTACCGAATTGGACTCAAAACAAGGGATGACATCCCCCAAGTCATGTCAGAATAATACCATAGTTAAAGAAAGTGATTAGCTTGGAAAAGATTGGTCTTGAAGGCCAGGCATTTATTGGGTGGCTGCTAATAGAACTCAATGATTATGAGGAACAAACCTCTGTCCTTGGTTCCTCCCCAGTTCAGCATTGACTGATTTAGAGTTTATAAAGGAAATTGAGAGGTGTGAGCAGAGCAAGATTAAGCACTTTTAATTCTTGTGCCCCAGTATGATTAGAAACAGAACACATCATTGATGTTTGCGGTTGGCTTTATATCTTGTTTTCTATGTGACTTTGGGAAATCATTTCTTCACTTTAGTCTTATGCCGGGAGCCATGGCTACATCATTTGATTGGCTGTTTGACAGGGTCCAGCCGATTAACGCCGAGGGGTGCAGGGTCGCCCCTTGGTGAAGAATAACCGGCCGGCCCCTCACATAGTTCTGAAACCTGTGCTGCTTCTAATTGCCCTTCATTCCTTTTCTTTTCTTAACCTCCAGTTTTCACTCCTTTGGGTGGCTGCTTGGGAAGCACTACCTCCCAGGAAAGTTAGATGTAGTAAGAGAATGTGACCACCTGCAGGTAACTTTCAAGATATTTTTCTGAGAGCTAATTTCATTTGATGCAGTTAATTATTGGAGGAGCACACAGTCCCTTTTGAGACAAGCAGAAAGGAATCCTGCCCAGATAAGATGTTGAATTAGGTTTATGGCCTCCATCTGGTTAATGTTTCTTTCTCCCTCCAGTTCTTTGTCTAAATATAAATGCATCGTCCCTCCAAGTTTGCTGGTTAATTGGATGATCAAGTATCTATATATTATTCTTGACCTTCTGCTTTCTGTTAAAATGTTATAGAGGTTTTCTCCTAAAAGCAATAAATAATAAATAATTGATGAGTAGAAGGGCCGAGGGGTGCAGGGATGCCCCTCGGTGAAGAATAGCCGGCCGACACCCCTGATATTTTCTGAATTATATGCATGCTTTCTATCAAGGTTGTGACTATACTTATTTCTGTTTATTATTCTTGAAGATACATAGTTTAGCTTAGCTTTTCAGCCCTTTACTTTACTAACAAAATGATATTTTCTCCAGGCAGTGTGCTTAAGGGACGGTTAGCTCTACAATCTAAAGACAAAGGAATGCTTTCACCCCCTAAAGGGCTCGGGAATGTAAAGATGTTTAACTGCCCGCTGAGAACGCAAATAGCCCTGGGGATAAGATACCCTGGAGTCGCCTTTTGTTCCCATTAACCATCTACACTAATGGCGTAAATGATTGAGGGAGGCAGGGATGGCTCCCCCAGGATGTAACCAGACGGAATGCTGTCCTGTCCGGAGGTCTGGACCTTCTCTCTTTGATTTAACTTTACCATGAATTATGACAGATGTCTAGGTACCTATCTCTCTTAGCTTAGAGACAACAAACACTAGTTACTTGCGGAGAAGACTACCATTAACCTTATTCTCTATAGAATAGAATGCTAATAAATATTCTTGTGCTCGTTTTTTACTTCCTTATCTCTCTGAGAATATTTGTAGAGCTATTTCTGTACTAATCCTGAAAAATATGAAAACGACACTTGTGCACAGTAAAGTTGGACTTGCTAACACCAACCCAAGTCTCATGTCCTCTTTATTTTCCCCTCATTGTGCCGACGCCGTCCATCCCTCATGAACCTGGACTCAGCCGGGGCGGGAATACAGCAGTCTTAGTGTCCAAAAAGGAGAAACGAGTATAATGACACCCAACCCTCTTGATTTGCCAACCCTTAATCTTTCACTCTTGGCTTTCTCGAACCATCAAACAGGAAAAAAATATACCTATCCCAAACCTTAAAATTCATAAACCTCACTAGAATTAAAGAACTTAAAATTGATTGAGAACTGTTTTTCCTGCTCAATCTGGAAAACAATTAAATTTTCATAGTCTATTCTAGAGGCGATCAAATGAGCTGGACAATCTGTCTTCACCATTGAGAAATTACGTTGTGAATGCCTTCAGAAATTCATTTAGATATACATTAACTTTAAATAAATTAGCACCATCTCAATCAGTAATTTCACTTAGGATAGTCTGCTCCAATAGGCAAAGAGTGAAATTGTATGCATGGAAATATTCACTGCCAGGGCACCGCCAATGAGACAGGAGAAGTGATTCACTTCTGGATAACAGTGAGGCATTTAAAAAATCTTTAGAGTTTTAGCTACATGATATATTATGCCTTATTAAAATGATAGGTAGGAATGATTTTAACTCCATATGAAATATACAACAATCTCTAGTGAGAAAATGCATACAATTAAATATATAATATAAAAGCAGCTATTTATTCAACTTCTTTAACAAGTACACTTGCAGTACCTTCCTTAGGCAAAGTGTTAGGAAACTCTGCCAGGCAAATTGATTAAAATTCAGTTATAAAAGTGAAACTAATGATGTGTAATTTTTCTCACAAAATAATACACTAAATGCCAAAATGTTTCCTCTGCCTGAGTTAGTATGTCTTGGAAATATATAATATGACTAATACTATTATTTATGTATTCCCAGTATTTAAAATGGTCTTGTTTGAGCCTGGCTAGGTGGTGCGGTGGTTAAGTTCCCATGTTGCACTTTGGCAGCTCAGGGTTTGCAGGTTCAGATCTGGGTGTGGACATGGCACCACTTGTCAAGCCATGCTGTGTCAGGCGTCCCACAGATAAAGTAGAGCAAGATGGGCATGTATGTTAGCTCAGGGTCAGTGTTCCTCAGCAAAAAGAGGGGGAATGGCGGCAGATGTTAGCTCAGGGCTAATCTTCCTCAACAAAAATAACAATAAAATAAAATGGGCTTGTTTGGGATTAAAAATAAAAGTAATGCATTTTGCCAAGAATTGATCTGTTTTGAAAGCACAACATATTTGGAAACCTGCCAAGTTAAATTCAGATTCCTTGGAGCTCTGCTATTATTTCCAGTTGAGCAGAACCAGACACAATATAATGGGAACCAAAGCTCAGGGCTTGCACGTGAGGTGGGATCTGCAGATGCACACCTTGAACCAAAGACACATGACAGGACTCGACATAAGGTAATATTTGAGAAGACTCACATACTGCTAAATAAAGACTCTGTGGGCCTAATGGGGAAGAATTTAACTCCAAAATGAAAATGGTAGAAAGTGTCATTCGTCCAGTTAGGAAATACCCTGAGGCATCGTGACTATGACCGGGAGGGGCACGAGGAGGCTTCTTGGAGCGCGAGGTTTTGTTTCGTGATCTGAGTGATGGATACACGGGTGTGTCCACTCTGTAAGTTAATAGAGTTGTATAATTTTTGGCATATTTGTTATACTATAAAAAAAGGTAAAAAGAAATCAGTAGATACACTTGAAGGAGAGGATGCCTGATAAGTAAACCTGCATTGGGTTTGGAAGATGAAGGCAAAAGAATGATTTCAAATTCTGTTGTTCAAAGAGATGAAAATGATGATGGCGACAAGGTTGCAGAAGAGATGTGGAAAGCTATCTAGGAGGCATTGCACGTCTGCTAAAGAGGAGTGACAATTCCGGATGGATACCGATGGAAGGACTGATGGAGGAATGATAATCATCAAATACTAGAAGACAATCTCCTAAGTTGAAGTTCACGTGACCTGCACATCCAGATCACAGCCTGGATGGAAGCAGCAAGGAAACACACACCTATTCTTGTCTAGGTAACAGTCTTAAACTCTACGGAAGTTCATCTAAAGATGAAGGACAGATTTTAAATTCTCATGAAGAGAAGGTCTTCACAGGAAAAGCACCATTCTGCTGGTGGAAATCTTGTCTGCATCAGGGAAAGCTGGAAGACAGAGGAAGGTGAAATACTGAACAAGGAGGGGTAAGCCCAAGAATCCTGTGTGTGGGAAAGTGGAATCCAGCAGCCAGGCTGACAAAAATACGATGGAGATATTCAAACCACGTGTCACTTGAGTCATATCCCAAGAACTTTAGTCGAACAATTGTTTACATAGAAGAGAGCCCTTAAAATAGCAGAAGACTAAAACGATGGGAAGGGGTGCTGAGCAAAGAATTTGCAAACCACATCTATTTAAGGCGATGCACCACAGCAGATGGGGAAAGAGTCTTGTTATTTCTGGTGAAGAGTTATTGAAAATGAAGGGACACATTTAATTAAAGTTATTGAAACAGACAAGATTTAAAGTAACAAATATCTGAGCATTTCACAGGTCAGGTTATTATTACGGATGGGTTTACACAGACGTTGAAAGACACACTCCTGCATCTTACCGAGCATTGAAGAGTGAAACTCTGAGCACTCCCAATTATCTTAACCTTATTTACAGCTCTATCACATGCACTTATATTTTTCCTAGAGCGCAAACATCCTATATAATTTCCTTAGGAATTGTGTTTCACTTGTGGTGGTCACCAATGTATGCCCAGCCTCTAAAACAGTGCCTGGAGTAGGTAAGGTGTGCAATACATATTTGCTGAACAGAGAAATGATCTTCCCTGCAGCACTGCAGTTTGACAGAAGTATAACTGAAGCCCCAGATGTAATTTAAACTTTTCTACCAGCCAGATTTTAAAAAGGCCAAACAAAGCAGATAAAGTCGTGTCTAATGATATATTTTAATATATTTTGCTTAACCCCAAGTATTTATAATGTAAACAATAATTAAGATGAAAACTTTTAATTTGATATTTATGTACTTTTATTCATTGTAAGAATTCAAAATGTATGTCTTTTTAATTTACAGCCCTTCTCAATAGTACTAACCCCACTTCAGGTGTTCAACAGCTACAATGCATTTTCCTCCTATAAGTCATCGTGCAGACATCCCTGCTGCTGAAGAAAGCTGTAGGTACCTGATCATCTCCTAAATGTTCTTTCAGAAAAGGGAATTCTCATCTTTGAAATGAAAGAAGTAAATTTGGAAATAATTTTTCTTTTCATCAGCAGAAAAGGGCAGATGGTTGGGTAGCAGGCTGAAATAATCCCCGTAATTCTCTCCAGTCTCGGGTTTTTCTCAGGTCTATAAAAAAGATAAAGGGTAATGAAGTTGTTCGCACAATAAAAGAAAACAAAGCAACTTACCAGCAAAAGAATGCTGTGGGTGGCTTTGATTTCCGGAGATGTCTGGGAAGACAGGCTGGGGCTGTGAACATACTGGGCTCTCTGGCAGTGCTTGTAGAGCAGACTCACCATGTAGATACTGGACAACATCATGAGGACCACAAAGAAGAGATCTCGAATCACCATGCCACTTATAAATGCCATTGAACGGTAGTGTCCCAACGGCTTACCTTCACAGTACAGTTGAGAGTATCCAGAACCAACAAATGAAGCATTGCAATTGGCTTCTACAGCTTTGATGATGTTGATATAGATGAACATGTTGATGATCCAGAAGAAGAGGAGAGAGGGAAAGATGCATGTAGAGAGTTTAGATTTAAGCCTTGTCCACGTAGAAGTACTGGGGCTGATAGTGATGGCTTGAACAGCACTCAGGAAGGAGGTAGTACAGATGGAAAGACCCCGGGTAACTCTGTATGTGTACAAAGTTGCCTTACAACCAACATCATCCAGAAAATGCCTTACTCCAAAGGATGACGCGACATCTGGTATCAACTTGAACATGATAGTCAAAACATTGACCAGTGTCAGGTGTATGAATATCAAATCTATGGGCCTTTTCAGGTGAGATTGAGTGAAGAAGACATACATATATAATGTGAAAAGCACTGAGTTCCCTATGAACCCAATACAAATTGAAGATATGAGGAAAACAAGAAAAATAATATCAATTGAAAACATTATCTTATTGATGTTTTAACTAGCAAACAGGTTTCAAATGAAAAAATTGACTATATTGTGAAATTTTAACGATGGAGCTTGTGGAAGAATACAATGATTGACAATTTAGTATGAGAGGTGCTTGTTGAAATTTTCAAGTCTTCTGTATTTCAGGCCAAGAAGTGTCACTTCCAGAGACTGGATCCCAGGAATTCTTGAGAACGTAGAGTGCAGAACTATGTTATAAAGAAGGGGGAATTCAAATTGCTAATTCAAATAGAAAAAAGTCGTTAACACTAGAAAAAAATAGCAAATTAATCCTAAAAAGAAATAAATGGAGTTGATATAAGTAAAGCAGAAGTTAATAGATAACAACCTTCTATGGAAAGGAGAAACAAAATCAAAAGTCAGTTCCTTAAAAAGTTTAACAAAATTAACAAACCTAGGTGAGACTGTACCAGTGTCTGAAAGGAAGGCACAAAAAACAATAGGATTAAAAATGATAAATGGATAGCAGTGGAGAAGTTGCAAATAATAGAAAATAATGTGACACTAATATTAGATATATCAATAAACTTGAAAATTTATGAGATATGGAGGAAAATTCCTAGATGACTTAAGAAAAGATAGTGGAATAAGAGAAAGTCATCAAGGTGAAACGCTCTTCATGATGAAGTTCAGGAGGGCAAAAATCATTCCATAAGAAATCTCAAAGAATTCTTGAACGGTGAAGTAAGCTAAACACTCCAGTAACAAATAATATCTACAAACAACTGCTGAGGGTTGACGAACGCAGAACATTCCACTGCTCACATTATGAGGTTAGCGTAACCTTGGCAGCAAATGTAGCAAAGATAATAGGGGAGTGAAATTACACACTATTTTATGAACCAAATGAGAAAACAATTTATACAAGGTAGTTGTAACATTGCGTCCACTACATATACGTAAAAAGAATCAGCATTGGATCAAAGAATCATAGCAGACATGAAAAGTAATTTTAACATTTGAAACTTGATCTGTTTGATGACCCACACTAGTAGACTAAAGGAACAAAAAATATGATCACTTCAAAATGTGCATAAGATCATGTGATCAAATTCAACATATGTCTGATAAAAAAATTCTAGATAAGTATCAAGAGAAAGAATAACCTTACCCTGAAAACACTTTTACAATGTCAACAGTATCATATTAAATGTTACATATTGAAAGCTTTTTCTTTGAGATCTGCTACGAGAAAAATATCTATTGTCACCACTTCTATTTCTCATATTTTTACATTTCCTGGGCTGTATAGCAAACAAAGAAAGTAAAATTTATAAGAATTAGAAGGAAAGTAACACCATCTTTTATCATTAACAGATTCTATAAATTTTAAGAAGGGAACAGATAGAATCATTCACTAAAATATTGAAATTTTTGAGAGTGATTTTCAAGGTTACTGAAAACCAAGTCAGCACAAAAACCATTAATATTTCTATATGTCAGCATAAAAATAGTTTTAAAAGGCAACTTAAAGAGTGATGCCATTTAAATAGCATAAAATATGTTGAACTTAAAAATTAACATATAATAAAAATTTGTAAAACCTCAGAGAGGAAACAGTGTTACAAATTAGTCTAACTTTGATTAAAGCATTTGTAAATGAAAATTAATGTATGAAAATTTGAGACAAAGGCTATTATCTGTAAAAATGAAATGGGATGCTTGAAAAACAAAAGCATGGATAACAATTATTACAAAAGTGGTAATAAAATGAAACTGAGAGGAAAATTCAAATGCAAATAAATGTGACTTTCCTGTAGGTATAGAGAATAAAAAAGACACATAAAAAATAAATAAGGGAAGATAGCCAATATATAGAATTGTATGGAATTTTCAAATAGTTGTGAATAATAAAAAGTCAAAATACGGTTAAGAAACTGTGATATGGTTTCCAAATGAAACAAAATTGAAGACCATGAAACAGTATTGGAGAACTGTAAGAGACAGTAAAGAACCAAGAAGATGAAAGAATGATGAAAGTAAAAGTAAATATATGGAGGAAAAAGGAAATAGTGACAATACTATGAGAAAGAAGACCAAATATACTTCTATCAAACAGAAAATTCAGAGAAGGTTAAATCTGAAAAGAAGGGAAGTCTCAGTAAGGAAGCTAGAATGGGGAATGGGAATCTTGAAAATGTCTTCATACCTCCTTCTCTTTCTCAACGCTGAGTGTGACACAATCCTTCCTAAAGGCAGTCAGCTTCCCCAAGCAAGTGAGACATCTTGGAAAGGCTGGATCTGCCCCAGAAAGACTGTATATCAGGGGCAGGATGGCAGGACTTCTCCTCCCAATGGATCACCTCGTCACCTGCGGTCTCCATGACCTTGTTTATTGGGGATCACTTTGATGTGCCCAGAGGAGCAACAAATTACTCTTCCAGGTGTAGAAATATTCTCCTGGTAAATTTATGGGGTTTATTGACCAGGAGTGCACAGTCACCATCGGAGGACGTACATTTTCCCAAATTGAACTACATCAAAAGTAAACTTTAGGATCTAGGAAAGTGATCAAAGTGCGTTTTCACTCAGCTGATGGAAATTCCTGCAGGACTTGATAAAACCTGAGTGCAGAGCAGCTCCTCAGAGAACACGTTCACTTTCCCACCTGGGCCTGGTGTGCCTCCTGCTTTCACAGCCTGTTTATTCTAAAGCTTTAGTGAGATATCACTGACATATAACATCTTGTAAATGTAATGTATACAATTGATGATTTGATACCTATAGACTGCGAAATGATTTCCATAATAAGTTAGTTAACAGCTTAATCATCTCCCATTACCATCTTTTTGTGAGGAAAACATCGAACATCTACTCTCTTAGCATCTTTCAAGTACACGCTACAGTATTATTAACTTTAGAAACCATGGTGTCCGTTAGATCCCCAGAACTTATTTATCTTAGAACTGGAAGTTTATACCCTTTGTCCAAGATCTCTATTTCCTCCACCTCCAGCCCCTGACAACCACCATTCTACTCTCTGTTTCTAGGAGTCAGCCTCTTTTAAATTCCACATACAAGTAAGATCACACAGTATTTGTCTTTCTCTGTCTGACATTTCACATTGCATCAAGCTCTCGAGGTCCATCCAAGTTGTTGCAAATGGCAGAATAGCCTTCTTTTTTTTTTTTACAACAGAATAATTTCCTCTTGTCCAAAGGCCTAGCCACTCACAATTGCCCTATTTCATCCGGACTGTGTACACTGAGGTCCCAGCATGCCATTGAGGTCGGGAGAAAATCTTTCTGAAATGAAAGCCAAGAGTAAACATGAGAAAAGCTTCTGATGTTTAAGAGAAATGGAGAATGTGGTGGCATTTGTTTGTTTACTTCCAATATGCACTGGGTGTCTATGTGAACTAGACACCGTTCCAGCCACTGAACATGCTGATGTGGGGGATCAGAATTGGCCACCCCAAAATGTGTCTCTTGGCGTTGCCTTGATTATTTTTAAGAACAAAAGACTCTGAAAGAAACTTTGACCTTCCCCTAACAGACTAAAAGAAACTTAAGATAAAAGACTTGTCTCAAGGACAGGCTATCACTATAGATAATTATGGGTATCCATAGACTGGAAGGGTCCTTGCTATGCCCACTCTTATCAAGTTTCTGTTTACCAAACATTTTCTTTTCCACTTCCATGTGAATTACCATCCTTCCCTTTGAAGTCCCAAACCACTACCCCAACACCCTCTTTTGTGTTTAGCTGAGGAGGATATTTAAGCTGGCAGCCTGGCTATTTTTGTCGAGTTGCACAGTTTTCCTGAGTTTCTCCCATGTATCCATATCATGAAGCTTTGTTTGATTTTCTCCTGTTATTCTGTCTCATGTCAATTTAATTCACAGATGAGCCAGAAGGACCCAGAGTGTAGAGGATTTGTCTTCTTCCCCTACAGTTTGGTGACTTCGATGGGCTAGAACTTCACTGGCTGGCCACAGCTCACTCTGAGACCACTGCAGCCAAGAGATCCTGCACCCCTGACAAGAGCCAGCAGGAAGTAAGAGTTCTTAGCACACCAGTGTCCTCGATCTCTGCCTGCACGGTCCAATGGAAGTGAGAGGGGTGACTTGTATTTGCTTTTCTAAATTTAGATTAGCAGGAGAAAATATTGGTGAACCTACCTTCTTGGACTCAGTGAATCTAGGAAATTTGGTTTAGCTCTCATTAATTGTAGACCCTTTTCCTCCAAGAGATGGTATTTTTCCTAGTCTCCGTCTTTTTTTGTTGTCTGTCATGAGACACAGGCATCTCTATAAGCCTGTTGTCTGGGAATATGTGCATGAAATGAAAGCTGTTGCTAAGGGCATCTTGGAAGCCAAAAGGGCCGCCAATTTGGTGGGTGCATGTTGAGCAGTTAAGAGGCATTAGGCTGCTTGCCACCCCAAGAAGCCTCCTGTGGAAGGATAAGTTGGGTCACAGAAGGGGATAGATGACACAGGTGCCCCCGCCAACTTCAAGAAAACATCCATGCAATGATGAGGTACTCTGTAAAGCACACATAGTGGAGGAAGATATTTCCTCTACCCACTGGGTCCTTCTGGCTGGGCTACAAATTAAATTCATATGAGACAGACTAACAGGAGAAAATCAAACAAGCCTTCATAACATGTGTACATGGGAGAGACTCAGGAAAACTAAGTAACTCACTAAAATGGTGGAGGCTCTCATCTTAAATGCCAGCTTCAGCTAAAGACAAAGGAGGATGTTGGGGGTAGTGGTTTGGGACTTCAAAGGGGAGGAGGGCAATTCACATGGAAATGGAAAAGCAAATGTTTGGTAAATAGAACTTTGATAAGAGTATGCTTAGCAAGGATCCTCCCAGTCTACCAATACCCAGAGTTATCTATTGTGATGGCCTGTCCTGGGCACAGGGCTTTATCTTAAATTTCTCTTAGGCAATTAGGAGGAAGGTCAAAGTTTATTTCAGTCTTTTTTTTCTTAAAAATAGTCAAGGCAAGGTAGAGACACATTTT